GTCTCCGGCCGTGTAATAAAATACGCATATCTGCGTATCTGCTTTAATGAAAACCCGCTGTATCTCGCAAAATGCGGACCTCTACTTTAATATATGCGATTTTTATCGGCCTCTGAAAGGACCGGGTTAAAAATATGCAAAAATCACAGACCGGGGTGAATATTAAGCAATGAAATTATGTATAATATTCCGCAATTAAAATTCAAATTGAAATCAATGCGCGGATGAAGGCCGTTCAGCGGGGGATCGAGTCACTTTTTCATGGCGTTTGGTGCGAAATCTTAATCCCTTAATATGCGTTTTGCGACATGGGGATTTTGAAAAGTGGGGGAAGCCGAGCGACGCCACTGACACTCGATTATGCGAATGTTTGCTGGTGCTCCTACATTATATTACAGTTAAATGTATTATGCATATGTTAAAGTTGGGACCTTAAACGATTTCAACGTATGCTCAGTTATGGAAATTTTGTTGACCTTTTTACGTTAGATTACAATTTAACATTTTTGTAGTCAATAAAAATTTACGAATAACAACTTTGTGCAAATCATGAAGTAATGAGAATAAAATTTGAAATGTTCTTTAGATTGTTGAATCGCTAAGCGGTCCGAGAGACCGAGATCTGCCTTTAGCGTGTACAAAATATTCCTGAACCGTCTCGGCACTTAATGGTCCATAAAGGCACCCCATAACTTGCCTATCAGGAGGATCATTCCAAGTGTTATTCTCTCTTAATTGGCCGTTCCGGGCGGAATCGTCAATTCGAGATATTAAACTAATTTCAATGCGTTGTAATCGCGGAGACGTGTTCCATTGTAAGGGTTAAATTGTCATTTAGAAATTCGCTGCCATTTTTAATGGTGCGGTGATTTCATAACGTCGAGATAGAACTTAAGCGAACCATAATTATTTCTGTCTTCCTCTGTTCAAATGATATCTTGTTGCGTCGATGGTTTTCAACGATTTTTTTATTTCTATAGAGAGTTTGCTGTAACAATTTAAAAGGGCCACAGGATAAAGTGACATCGCTGGATGTGCACAAATATAACGACTCAGCGACTTCGGTCTCCGAAGTGATTAAGCTGACACAGCACAAGCGGTTAGCCTGTGACTGACAACTGGCTTCGTTAAAAATTATAGTCGTTCAAGGAGTCTATTACAAACAATATATCGATGAGACCGCCTGCAGCTTCAAACTGAGATCGACTTATTATTTGTAGCAGTACGGAACGGCTTAATGACTTTCACCAAACCTATTACATCTAATATAGCAATAACCCAAAATATCGGCCGGCCAAGATTCGGAGCCAATTGGTAATTATTTGAAGAATCGCTCAGGGGGACAGGAGAATTAATGACTAAATGGAATTCCGCCAGATTTCCAATAAGAGGACCATACCACGCATTCCTCTCTCACCCGGCGCGTCGTTACGTCACCCAATAAGCTCACAAAGGATGCATCAGACCCTCTTTTTAAAAGCGACACGCAATATCACCTCTAATACAATCATAATAAGGTACAAAACTCCATCGAATAGACAAGTTTCGGGCGCCAATTTTAATTAGCCCCACCATCCTCCCGGTGAGGGTGTTTGCAAATAGCGTGGACTGCGAAGAAGCCAATCCATCAAATGGTGAGCGCATTACGACACCGTTGTCGCTAGGGATTGAGGATTAGTCGTCCCGTGTCGATGAATTAACAAATTGTCTCCGCCGTCCTCTAAAACATAAGACGGATTGAACCGTAAAGTGCCTCCATTTAATTAACTCTCAAAAAAATATAGATAAATGTCGCCACAAACTCTGCGGAGTCATTAATAATGCTTATATATCTTATAGGTTTTAAGCGTGTATGTTTTTAGTTTGTAATATTTTTTAACGATAAAAAATACCATCGATAATTCCCGCGGGACGTCACTAGGGCTCGTGCTTCCAGTTGATTGTCGTAACTCGATAGCGTGCACTCGTTTGCACCAACACTAGGCATCTTGACTTAGAACAGAGATCGCGAGGGATATTACACTTAACAAAACATACAGACAGAAATAAAATTACACTTAATAAACACTATTTAGATTCTAAAAATTATATTAGAATAAAAAATATTAAGGAAATTACAAATTTAATTGGATATAAATATTGTTTTATACTTCAGTATTTGTGTTCAAAGTTCTCAGTTAAGTATAACTGTGTTTTAAGTAACTGTTGTTGGTCGATAAGGATCTGTAGGGACGTGTCAGTATGTTTGTCTATTTAATATTTATAAACATTTAAATAATACGTTGATGTAATTGATTAGATTTAAAAAAAATACTGTTATTAAAATGAATTAACAAATAGTAAATAAAAATATATTTATTTATATACTTTTTACTATATTTTTATATTACTCTTATAGACTAAAAATACGTCTTCTGTAACATTCAATTTAATAGTCAATTGAGTGACAAACTTTATTTTACTTTTGTAAAAAAATTATGCATACTTGATAATTTGGATAAAAAATTTGGGATTTACTAAAGTAAATGAAAATAAATTATATTTATTTTGAGATCTTCACGAGTTTAATTCATTTAAATGAAACTAATATTTTTCGTATATACTTCGCGATTTATCATCTCGTCTGCCCGTGATCACCGTTGCTGAAAAGTAGCCGAAACGTCCGGAGTATGTAGTTTATTCACAAAAATAAACCGCGTAGTATAGGCGAAAAAAATTAGTTTCGAAAAATATATGTATTTTCTTTAACAATTATTTATTTTATTTTTATCTTCTAATTAAAGAAATAACAACATTCACACGTATTTCAAACGTTCCAATAATTCGGACTACTGTATTTATAAACAATGAGTGTACCGTCTCCTATATTGCACTGCCAATTACCCAGCCCCCAGGAGTTTAACCAAACATTCTAACAAAAGGGTCGCGGGTTCGGTGTCGGGTTGCAGCAATCGGCTTACAGACACCATCAGAGAGACGGATCTAATGAGCACCCTCGCGCACGGGAATATAATGACAGAAAAATATTATAAACACATTATATAAATGTATGGAAAATCGTATTAAATATTCTACGTTAAAAACTGCAAAAGATAAAATTTATTTATAACTCAGGAAACTGCTATATATTTTAAATAGAATTCAAGTAAATACATATATACTTATATAAAACACTTATTTTACGATTAAAATATCACTTAAATTACAAAAATTCTCAAGTTACAGAGATACAGAAATTCTATTTCTAATAAATTAACATAGTTTTCATTCTCTTGACTTTTCACACGCAACCCCATTGTGTTTGTACACGCATTTGGGGGTGTATTAGTGAGTTTTAGGGGTGTGTGTGTGTGTAAGATGAATTAGGGGATTACCAGCTCTGCATCATGCAAGTGCACTCAGATTTTGCACGCCGATAGCTATACAGGGTGATCACATACATAACAACTGACTTACTATACACACTATATAAAACCTAAATGTGAGCAGATTCAGAATATAATCTACACGAAAATTATATATGTATATATACGTGCTTTTAAATATAATTCAAAATTTACATAAACCTCTAATTAATTGTCATCAAACATTTATACATGGTGCTCCAAATAAATCAATCAGCTGAATCTTTAATTTCTATGTTATTGTTTTAAACGTTTTATTTTAAACACCCTGTATAACGCAATAGTAATACCAAGGGTGGCGGGTAATGGCGTAAGAGTAATTTTATTACTTTGCCCCCATTACCATCACAATGCACGCCACCATCTGAATGAGATGCGATACTCGATACGCCATGCGTTCCGTCATTGTAGCTATCAATATATTTAGAATTCGACATTTTTATAATCTACTACAACAGTTGCATTAAACATAATCAATACTAAAATTTATTTGACTTCAAACGGTGTATCTAATAAATAAAAACGTTTGTAAAGTACGTATAAATGAGAGAGTCTAAAGTGTATAATTGTTTGTTACATTTTATTTTCAGTGAATCAAATGACAAAGGTATCCTATTTTTAAAGCGTTTTCCAGACGATGTATCAACCTGCATCGGTTCTTTTTAAACGCCACACAGTACTCTAGGCTGGAGTATAAACAAGATGTTAGTCAGAGGCAGCTTGTGATTCGATTTGCTCCCGTCGTGATGAATATTTGATGTGGTTCAGTGCACACTAATTTGTTTATCGTGTTCCAGTCTTTTGTTTCTTCGGTACACGTAACTTACATTTTCAAAGTGAATTTCCCTTTAATTATTCAGTGATACAAACGCCTACATGCTATCAGGAGCTCTCCAGCTATTTTCATTGTTTATTTTCGTCTCAGTTTCGTTCTCTTTACATTCGTTTCTTACATACTTTATGCTGGAACGTGTACGTCTCTGTAATATTATACTATTTAAAGAGTAAATAAAATATAGAATTTAATAATTATGAACAGTCGAACGGATAGTATCGGGTCGCTGTACCGACTAGACACGTATCATGCGACGTAGCAAGAATTAATTAAGCGTATGTACTCAAGATAGGAATCAGTGGTGTGGCAGGTGATTAAATAAATAATAGTTGAAGTTTCTAATTAATATGCCAGACGCGAGGCAGATAAGCGCGCTCGAGACATCTCTCGCGATCCTTGATCGCTGCTGCTCAGATTAACACGTTATTAGGAATCATCATGACGAATCTGTCTGTCTGTCTGTCTGTCCGTGACGATGACGGGTAAAAGAAACAACACTCCCCATACTGACCAGCTCTAAATAAATTTTAATGTGATCCCGAAGACTGAAGCAACATAAAACTTTCGATTATTTATAACATTATCGATAACAACAAATTCAAAAATCGATATTTACATTGAAGGTAGTTTGTATCATGTTAAATAAGATTAAGCGGCAATAAAACTTAATATATTCCATTAAAATGTATTTTTAAATGCCATAAATTAAACTGGTTTATAAAACATTTTGAATATTAATGATTGTGTGTCTTTTGTTGTAGGCGACGCCAGTAACGCGAGTATCGGTTCAGGCGAGGGTACGGGGGAAGAAGATGACGACACTAATGGAAAAAAGAACCAGAAGAAAAGAGGAATCTTTCCGAAGGTGGCCACCAACATACTCCGGGCGTGGCTGTTCCAACACCTAACGGTCAGTGGCATGTTTTGATTACGATACTAATACAATAATATTCATATACCTCACAATAAAGTTTGAATAAGTTTGACTTAAATTATTATTTAGGAGGAAATTCCAAAATTATTACCTCAACTTAATGTTTGAATAAAGTAAGCATACACAAATTTAAAATCACGCAACGATTGTCAGTAGCGAGACAATTGAACCGCGACCGAGCGGGGCCGCTGCGGAGTTTTCAATTAAAATTTTCCAGTGAAAGCAATAAATTTTTCATTGCGTAGACAAAGAACACTCCTCAAAGGGCAGGCTGTTTCTACGAAAGCAATTAAACTCGTCCCATTCGACGCCTCAATACGGGAATTTTGCGTTCTATCATTGTGATTGATGGTCAAAAATAAACATTAGCATGAGACGTTACTGAGAACCGGCAGAGCCGCTGGTGTCGCGAGTGCACAGTATTGCGTAGTAATTTCTAGAATAGCTGAGAGGTGGCGGGGGTGAGGCACGGGGCGGCGGGGGGAGGGCAGGAGGGGTTGCAATTTCATTACCGGTCCGGATCCGCGGCCATAAATCACCAACGCCGAAGAAGGCGCTCCGCTCGGAGCAGCTCAGTTCAGGTGACGCTGGCACAATCTTCTGAGCCCCGTATTTCTGTTTCATTCTAGTACCCGACCGCCCGACCGCCCGAATCCTTCATTCTTTATAGCTATGAGTTCCGCGAACACCCCGACAAAGAGTTTTAATTGACGCCACGGAAAAGCTTTTACTGGTCGTCTCCTCGCTCAAGAAACCGACGATTTATTTCCAAAGTAGAAAACTTGTACGTTTCTAAAATTCAAAATCCGTTTTATTTCCGCCGGAGTTGGTAGTTCGGAGTTTTTTAAAAGTAGGTAACTGTCGCCAATCGAATTAGGAAGCTTTTAGCGTTCCGTTTTGGCGCGTTTTTGCGTGTGCCTGTCCGCCTCCATTACCACGTTCCAAATTACTTATAATTGCTTCGCTTAGTGCTAAGTGCTTTCATTACAACCGCTGTAAAACTGTTCCGGTATAGGTCGGCGTGTGTCAACGTTTGTTCTGAAATCGGCTTGCCATTATTTAAGGGCGCGAATGGTATTTCACACCTAAATTTAACACCTTCGAAATTGTTCGGTCGAGATATGATTGGTGCGCTGGAAATGCGGTCGGACATAGACAATACTTCATATTGGCATCAAAAAGCGCATCGGCCCACATAGAGAGCATAGCTGTCAGTGATGTTTGTAATATTCATTCGATTACGGGGCGGGAAATGGAGCGTCGCGCGGTGAAAGCGACACCTGCACCACACCGCACCACACTACACCACACCGCACCGCACCGCACCGCACCGCACCGTGCGGCACCGCTGCGCTTTCATTACATACAAGTGTATTCAATGTCGCATATTCAAATCCTTAGCCGCTCCGTGTATGGACATCGGCTGCAGCTTAAACAGATTGGTATCGTGTCGCGACACGGCAGGCCGACTGTGATTGAATCGGATGATCGGGATACTAATTCGGTATAGCTCAGTTATAAAACCAAAAAAGGAGATGTGATCTCGCTAGTTGGAAACCGTGGAGCGTGCTCCCATTTAAATTCAGTGCGGCGCATGCAATATTGGTAACAATCCGAGTATCCGTGACTCTAAACGATATGAATTTTAAAACTTTGCGATCCGTACCATTTGAATTTGAATTTCATTGAACCGGTTCGCTTGGGTTGGTTCTTCATTCAAAACAAATTTAAATGACATCATGCAGCATATAATTCTGATGAGTTTTAATTCATAAACTCCTGGCGTCATCATCAGTGGTGGACGTTAATTACCACATCACAACCCAAGTCCTCATAATAATATAACAATGTCAAACGTAATCCTGTTAATCATCAATCTATCTCGTGTAGCGAAATCCGCGTACCTGCGTACGTGTCGCGGCTCCCTCAGAAAATTCCCAAGAAATAATATTGAATAACGACGCCTCACAAATCCCACCTCGGGACTTTAAGCTCTTTCAGGGGGCTAAAAATAATTATAACAGCCAAGTAATCCCGCTACAGAATCCCGCAGAGCTGCTCCTGTACCTTCTGCTTCTATTATTTTAGGAACATGTGTCTTTGACGTAATAATTACCCTGTCGTACTTGAATTATTCTCAGCTTTTTGAGTACATACTGTGAAGGCGATATTTATCATGATTGTTTTTTATGAATATTATTAATATGTATATTATTATGAAGAACCAATATGATTATTATATTATTAAAACATAAAGTTACGTTATAAAATCCGTCTCGTTCGCTATTCTCGGTGGCTGGCGTCTTTGTAACGTTGGTTCCTCAAACGCACGATCATAATTTCGCATGACAAGCTCCACATAATATTAATAGAAGCACCAGGACGTCATAGCTGAAGAGATATGTTGAAACGCGGAATTCCTAGTGCGGTGTTGAGTTACGTCGGTATCGGGTTCTCTTTGAGATCCACCGCCCCGGAATGGAAGCATCGCAGAATAATCACGCCGAAAGATTTTATACTTTATTTATGCTACTATACTGTCTCCTTTGTTATGTTGCCCTGGTACTTTACGATTATTATAGAAGCATGTCAAGTCGATGGGAAATCTACGGCTAATAGAAACGTTGACCTCCTGTTTATAACATGAGAATATGCAAGACAGAATATTTTTATACATGTTATATTAAAGAAACATAATACTTTAATATGAAAAATAATAATTACTTCCAGCAGAATGGTTAAAGTTTTGAACTGAACATGGTCTAATCCATTACACTTTGCTTATCATTAATCCAATAACGCGGATATCTCAAAATATGGCTCAATTTCGCTTCGAAAAACGTAGAAGAAACTCGGTTTTTCCTTGCTTTATTTAGGGTAAGGGCGAGTCGTAAGTTTTACTTGAAAGAGTCGGGGGCAAATTGCATACGAATCCGGGAAATGAGAATTTATTAATATTGGAAGCGACGTCGGGTATCTTGAACGAATTAAGTGCCTTTTTTTTTTTGTTTGGTGACAAAATAAACTCCATTTTGTCCAGATTATTTACTGGAATGTATAATCTAGAAAGAAATCTACCATATATGTACACTATGAAAGAATTTAAGTTACTATTTTATGAAGAGTATCATATGTCATTTCGTTGTTCAATAACATTAAGTTATGTTCTGGAATATTCAGAATCTATGTAGTAAGGGACGACAGAAGTCATTTCCGGAGATCCGGGGAGATTCGAGTTTTTAAGACGATGCTTAATACATCCCGGGACGGACAGGAAATTCGAATCTGACGGAAATAGTGTACGTGAAATAGCAACTATAATAATGATATAGACAGAAAAAAACTTTGAATACTTCCAACATTACCATTTTATAAAAGAAACATGTTTATTTAAGGATTAAAACAAAAAGTACAAAGAATGTACATTAGCGTAAGCATGAAGTCTCTCTATCAGCGGCAAACAATCGGCGACATTACCGTAGTAATCTCAAGAGTCACAAATAGATTGTCTCTTGTCAATATTGTCTCAGCGTAACCCTTTAATAGCGAGCCGACATGGCCGTCGCGTCGTGATAACGGCGCGGACCCTCCGAAATATGACTATCGAATGACAAGTATTAATTAATGGAAGAAAAACAAATTTTATCTTTACACTCGACTCCTCCTGGAAGGGTGGAGAGGGTTACGATCGTAACTCTTTTGTAAACTGAATCACCTCGTAATGATTCGTGCTAATAAATGTACTACTTAATATCTTTGCATAAAAATTGAAATAATAGCTTTGATTCCTAACTTGTAACCTTTAAGTTGTAATTCAAAGAGTTTTCGCATTACAACACAATCTATAAGCCACATACATCAACCCTTGATTGTCCAAATTTCTGGACCCCACATCCTGTAACCTGAGACCGTCCACTCCCAGATATCTTATCTTAACGACCCACCCGCAGGGGTCAAAGTGACCCCACAACCCCCCAGATCCACTACGTAGATATGAAACGGGCAATTTTGGTCAACTCAACTAACTATGCTCCCTGGAATGAGACTTCTTGTTTATAAGTAATTGTGTGTAATACAGCTTATTTAATCTTGATATTATTCGACTAATATTTGGACGCTCGATTACACAAAATGTTATAAGGAAAATGCTGAGCACTCTCAACTATGTTCTGATGCTGTTCACATACAGAACTATAAAAACTTACAAAGATACCACAGAAACGTTTTAATCAACTCATTTGTCATACTTATATCTAAATTTCAAAAAGAGCTCAACTTGTCATTGTAAAAAATATATATGTAATTAAATATTAACACACAACATATAGTCGTTCTCTCAGAAAACAAGAGGACAATATACGAGCTTAATTTAGCCGAGCCCACATTATCCCATAAATAAAACAAAGGTACAGGAGCAAAGAATATAATCTAAGCCATGCTATATGAGTGCCAGGACGCCATAACTTAGAGATACGTAATATCCAGAATTCTCGAAAGAAACTCAACGTTTGATTAATGTATTCTCGTGTCAGGCTATATTGCAAGGATTTATTCGAAAGGGTGTTACGTCAGAGGTGTTATTGCAAATCTGGGGTATATTAAAAAGGGCGGGGACACGTATGTTTGTACGCCACCTGTGTTTAAAGGGCTTTAGAAGATGTATTGTTTTCTTTTATTTTATTCACAGCCTATAAACAGTTAAACAGAATTGCTTATTGCTGTGCCATGCGTTACACTTGTTTGTAAATACTTTATTATTACTGATGGTTTCAGTAAGTGTAAGTAGAAGAGCTGAAACGTCTTTGTAAAGCCTTTTTATTCGCATATCTTCGGTCGACAATCGAGAACCCTTTATATTCACCATCCCATAGCGGTCCCAGTGAGACCTTCCCTAATAGGTTTGAGTGTTTCCACCGATGAATTTTTAATATGGAAATGAACCCTTCAACTTATAGAACCTGGTGGCTGTCCGGTGT